GTTGTTCCAAAAAGGCTCCTGAAAGTTGTTTTTTTTTTTTTAACTAGGATATGATTTTGGTAAAAGAAATAAAGAGAATGTGGATTTTTTTTTTCAGTTCAAATTTAACACAGAGGGAACTCAAGAATTTTAAGCTTGCTAGAATCCATGCTTTTAAAACCAAGTTGACCTTTGCACTCTCTTTTGAGGATAATGATAATGATGGTGATGATTGATGATGATGATTGTGGTTTTTCAACCGATGGGTTTGGGTTATTTTCTGATTATTCCTGGAACAAACTTTTTCCTAATAATTATGATGGCGAAAGTAGAGCAAGTATAAGAACTGGAAGGGAATGTTAGAAAATAACAAGGAATACTTGTACTAAAAGCATTAGCACATGTGAAGGATAGTAAAATTGCAGGCAGAAAACATAGTCTGTGAATATACTTTCTAAGTAGAAAGCCCATAATGATCTCCCACTTAGTTTTCCTCTTGCAGGAAAGTAAGATCTAGGATTAGGACTTCAACAATTAGTTTGGTACCATCTTTTTTCCCCCCTGTACTTGGCATTGAAACCAGGGGCACTCAACCATATCTTTTTGACATCCAACTCACAAGAGGAAATGAGACCTGACCTAATCTAAGATAGTAAATGCAGGCTGGAACATGCTTCTGATGTCTGTGGGGTGGACATTTGCTATTGTTTTGACTAATTTCATATTCTTCTCATTTAATTCATTTCCAAGCACAAACATGAGACAAAAATAAAGGAATATTCTCTGGTACAATTCTTACAATTGACTCGCAGGTAGATTTGAGATCACAAGTTTGGTCTTATCTAGATATGGCCTGTGATGAGTTCTGGTCCTGTGTTCAGGTCACTGTCCCATCCTCTCCTGAATGAACAGGTTAAGACTGATATTTGATGTGGTAAAAAATATACTTTTATAGTCTTTGGTCTATATGCTTTTTTTCAACCCATATTTGAGGAGAGGGACATAAAGAATTCTAGCGAGATTGAGATTCATAATAGAAGTTACAAAATGGGTACCAAATCAGAAAGGAAGGTGTGGGTGACTGCAGATAATCTCACTGTGGGTATTTAGTGAGTACAATAAATAATCATGGAGTAATATTTACACATTGAATGGTAGGGAGGATTTAGCATCTCTTATTTTAAGCTTACAACCTCTGGAAACTATGATTTGTTCTGCACCAAATTATTATTCAGGAGGAATAGTTAGCTTCAAAAAGGCCATGCCTCATCTCCTATGCTTTTTCTAGCTGAAGAACTTTGAACATTTTTCGTGATGAGAAAGCACTGCTGTAAGCTATCAGTTATGACAGGCTTGAGCAAGTTGCAAGCTCATGGCTGTTAGGTGTTTATTTTCCCAAGGATATTGTAAAAAATGAATATTAACCCAAACAGTTCTTTATAATTCTAGGTCTGTGTTCCTTTCTGTGATTCCAATACTTTCTCTAAGGCCAATAGAACAGTTAGGCTGTTTCCAATATTTTACAAAATAGAAGGATGGTTTTGATTTAGAAAACAAACATGTAAGAAGAGGGGACATGCAATTTAAGGTGTCCTTGAACTCTCTGTCTCAGGAAGAAACTTCCCAGGGAGCTTGTGGAACCTGATTCATCTTCATGAACCATCTTTAAGAGCAATTAGGTTCAAACTTTTAAAAAGAAGTCCTATTGACACATGTGAGTTCTCTTATTCTTCCATGGGTTTGGTTACTCATTCCAACCCCTTTTGCACAAAGAATGGTAAATAAATAGGGAAAAGGGAAGGTTTTCCTGTTTAACTTTCTACTCAAATGTAAAGAAATATAAAGAAGCTCTTTTTTTCTCATATTATCTCATTCATTTTCTGATTGACATGGTGGTATTTGAATAGATAGAGAATTATACAGTTTTTAAAGAAATTACAAATTGTTTTCTGTGGTAGAATTCACTCAATGTGATTGAAATCATCACTGCTTTTGGCAAGCTCCTTTTCTTCTTTTTAATATCTTAAAGGATTGCCTTTATTTCTTTTATTTTCCCCATTTGCATCATCACTAAGCTCAATTTTAAAAAAATCTCATCATATGCATCTCCTGGTTATTACTCATTTTTACTTCAATTTGCATTATATCACTCTGAAGTACACATATAACTAGAGAATAGGAAATTATTATATTTCCTCTAAGAAGACAATAAGTTTTAAAGTTTGCTACATTAAGTAGCAAAAATAAAGACTAATGGGAGAATTTCATTGCATGGACACACTTAATTTCAGCAAGTATTTGTTGATCACCCACTATGTGCCAGGGGCTGTAGTAAGTACTGAATACTGAGGACTTTGAGGTGGACAAGACAGAAAGGGTCCTTGTATAATGGAGTTCACTCTTTAGTGGAGGAGGGCAGACAATAAGCAAACCAGACAAACAGATGAAGAAACTATTGCAGAGTGATGTGCAGAGAACTAAAATTTAAAATGTGATAAAATAATAACCAGATGCCAACTTTAAATTGAGTGATGTGGTAAAATCTCTCCAAGGACGTTTAAGCTGGGGTCTCATTCTACTTCCTGTGGCTGAATGCCTTGTACTTAGAGGCATAAAACAATTTATGTTCAGGGATCCTCCATGTCAGGAATCTGCAGGGTGTGGTGGAGCCAGGCTTGTCTCTGCCTCGCAGTGCCTGGGGACTGGCTGGAAGGCTTAAAGGCTGGGGCTGGGACCATTCGAGCATTTGGCCACTCACACATGTCTGGCAGTTGATGCTGCTGTCAGTTGAGTGGCAGCACACCTACATGGGGCTCTCCATGCAGCCTGATCTCCTTCCATTATGGTGGCTGGGTTCCAAGAGTAAGTATCTCTAAAGAGAAAGTGAGCCAGGTGCAAGCTCTAATGTCACTTGTGACCTAGCCTTAGAAAACACACCGTGTTGCTGCTGCTAGACTCTTATTGCTTACAATGATTGCCAAGATCTACCTAGTTGAACCCAAGGAAACAAAGACCACTTCTTGAAGGGGTGTGAACATCACACTGTAAGAAGAACACATAAGATAGGATATGTATCAGTGTGACCATCTTTGGAAAATTCCATCTGACACAGTCTGAATGTCAAGATGGAGTTAGGAACTTAAAAACCAAGGGGAAGAACATTCCAGGCAAAGGCCTAGGTAAACACCAACTTGGCACATATTTGAACCACAGATAGAAGGCAGGCAGCAGGATATAAAGAGCAAGGAGAGGAGTGGTCGCAGGTAAAGTTGCACAGTGGCAGGGGCAAGATGATGACATGGCAGAACCAATTCTACTTTAGATAACAGGTAAGGAAGACTGGGTTTGTCCTGGGACTCATGCAAGCCTTCTCTGGGGAATCGCTCCTTTGGGTCAGTTTGTCGATTTTGGCCTGTCTCTAGATTCTCACATACAGTATTCCCAGTTCTCTTCTCAGCAGTGCTTCCTTTTGAAGTCCCCATCCCCCAGCCTACACTCTTCACTACTGGATATTGGACCCTGGGGAAGTAAACAGAAACCTTTGGTTCCTTCAGTCTTTCAAGGGCTTTTAATTTAGTTGGAGAGATTAATACACATGCATGTGCATACATGCACACAGGGATATTAAATATAAGTCAGCAACATTTATGTGCAGCAAGAATCAAATATTAAAATACACAGTGTGAATCATAGGACTTAGAAGTCATATAAAGAAGACAGTGTAAAATGTCTAACTAAAATGGGTGTATGTCAGTAGTTATAAGGAAAAATATTGTACATTTTTAATACAAATGCTTAAAACTTTTGAATGTAAGAAGTGACACGAAGTAAAAACATAAATGATAAACTAGGAAAAATATTCATGCTATATAAAGACTATCTTTATATAGAGATAGCTTTTACCATTCACTGCACAAAATAGAAAAGTATGAGCAAAGATACGAAGGAGAAGTTCACAGAAAAGAACACATAAATGACCAATAGTCATGAAGAAATGTTCAACCTCATCATAATAAAAGCAATACATAGAAAAGTAAATGCTTTACTAAATTGACAAAGAAGCTATCAAAATAAGCTATTTTTTTTTTTTTTACCAAATTGACAATCATCACAATGTTTGATAAAAGTCAGTGTTGGCTAAGATGTGGGGGATATCAGCCTTCTGTATACTGTTGGCTGGTATACACCTTTTCAATGAAGATTTGGCAATATTTATCAAAGTTTAACATGAATATTTTATTTGCTTTGGTATTTTGCTATTTGAAAATAATCTTATGGATGTACTTATTCCAATATGCAATGATATATATTTAAAAGTATTTATTTCTGTATTATTTATTTTATTAAAAAATTTAGTTGTAAATGGACACAATATCTTTATTTTGTTTATTTATTTTTATGTGGTGCAGAGGATTGAACCCAGTGCCTCACATGTGCTAGGCAAGTGCTTTACCACTGAGCCACAACTCTAGCCCTAGTTTTGTATTATTTATAATAGAAAAAAATAAAGTTACTCAGATACACATAATTAGGAACCAGATTTATAAATTCTAGCACATGCAGAGGCATATAGATCCTGAAATGCCATTCAACTATTTAGAAGGTGAAATATTAGGGGCTGGGGTTGTAGCTCAGAGGTAGAACACTTGCCTAACATGTGTGAGGCATTGGGTTTGATCTTCGGCACCACATAAAAAAATAAAATAAAGTTATTGTTTCCATCACTACTAAAATATATATATATATATATTAAAGAAAAATAAGGTGAAATATTAAAAGTGCTGAGAAAGAGGTGGATAAATGACCACTCATTCATTGATTGTTAAGTAGAGGAAAAAGAGAAAAAATGAACAGATATAGTGTGATGAAGTTTGTATGTAAATATGTAAATTTTATATCTAAATATACCTATTGTAAGCACAATACTTAGGATATTTCTTCTCTTAAAAATCTAGGCATGGAAGTCATGTGGCAAATGTGTTCTATCACGGAACTTTATAAAGAATGGGAAGGCAAAAGATAGGTGTCTACTAGTGGTAAAGGTCCAGTAGACACCAAACAGGGGTGAGACTGTTTTTTCTCACATAACCCAACTCTTCCAGTCCACGCCATGCCTAGCCCAGGACATTCCCAACATCCCACAGCCCTGCTAGAGCAGGGACCATGTTAGAGCAGGGACCTTCTGCAGCTGACCACTGGGGAGTGATTTCCTCAAGAGTGGATCTTTGAAGAGATATCAGAGGAGTCTCAGAGGTAAGAAAGTCCTGGTTTGCAACTTTTTACCTTTTGACTCCAGATCTGCAGACTGTGCTTTGGCACACTGAGCCAGTGAGGATGACAAATAGTATAATTTGAGAGGCAACAAAGGGCCTCAAATGTGACAACATATCGGGGCCTGAAATTCCCACCATTTACTATCACTGAAGGGCCTCGCAGAGATGGGCTTATGATGTCTTTAGTATTATTATTTAATTTTAAAATTAACACATGTCTAAGATTTTAAAGGAAAAACATCAAACATTACAGAGGCATATAATGAAAACCCAAATTCTCCTTTTACCCCCTTCAATCTAAAATTCCCTGCTTCAAAAGTCTATCATTACAGTTTTATAAACTGTATATACTTCCAGAAATTGGAGCATGTACATGGATAGGCTGTCATTTACCTGCCTCTTTCTTACTGAGTAGAAGAGATCTTTAGTTATGAGAAATGAAGAAAAATTCGATGGCAAATTTTCAATGGTAACATATCTGACTTCCACTCCACATGTGTCACTAGGCACCTTCTATGGCAGTGAAGATCAGAATACCAACGTAGGCAGGATATCATTAGACAGTTGGGAAGGAAAAAAGAAAGCACAGACAGGCAGAGGTAGCACTTGCATTGAAAAAAAAAATGGGGGTAGATCTATGGCTTTTGTGTCACAATGAACAGATTCTGAGACTGTTGGCCTGAAAATGAACAATGACTTTCCAGATCAGCTTATGTGCCCACCTCATCATCCCCTTTGATTGCCTTGAATCATTGTGGAGATTCCTCCCTGGGCTCTCCTGCAGGTGGGAGGTATTTGCTCACTGCCAGGCAGCACCTACTGAAAATAAAAACTCATCTTCTATGAGTGACTGGGTATGCATTAACAAGATTGATGTCCCCCAAATATTTTTCTCTGAAAAAACAAGTTACAGAATGTTATGATTAATGACAAAAATACAAACCATGTTAACTATTTTATATGAATTCTGAATGTGTGTGTTATGTGTATGTAAAGGTGAGTGGGTGGGGGGGAGGCAGGGAGCAAAACAATCTCATCACCTCTAAGAAGAGAGGGAAGAAACTGGGATTGAGGGGGCCTATTAGTAAAAGGGGGCCTTAGCTTTATGCACAGTGTCCTCATTTTTAAAAGAATTGAGCCATGTTCATTACCTGTGACCATGGTTTGGATGAATGTCCACCAAAGGTCCTTGTTTAAAGGCTTAGTTCTCAGGGTAGAAACATGCTGTGTTCTTTAACTGCAGGGCGAGGGGTTGTGCTTATTGAGCTTCTGAGGTTCCAGGGGGCATGTCCTTAAAAGGGACTGGAAGACTTTAGTCTTTTATCCTCTTTTTCTGCTTCCTGACTCAAGAAGTGGGTACTGTCTCCCACAAGTGCTCCTCTTAAGAGTCCCAGACCACAGGAACCATCTGATCTTGCTTGGACTTGAGTCTCCAGAACTAGGGAGCCAAAGTAAACCTTTCTTTACTTCCTAAGTGTCAGGCATTTCATTACAGTGACACAAAGATGATTAGTATAGATATCTAAAGAATTCTTAAAGAAGGTCTGGATAAGGTAAAATAACTGTCCCCAAATTGGATTCTGTGGAACACCAGTGCTCTGTCAGATCATGGTGGCAATTTGTCACAGAGTGTCCAGGGAATGAAACAGAAAAAGCAGTGACCTCGGAAGAATCAGAATACTCCTAACCCTCTCCCATCCCCAGGGTGCTCGTGGAGGAGAGGATGGCTCTGAATGGCCCTGCAGCAGATTTTCTGTTTTTAGTTGTATTATAATATTTTGCTAAAAATATATTGTCTTTAGATTTTAGGATTTTGTTTCTGGTCTTTGCAAATAAGGGACTAAGAAAGGTAAATAATGTATACTTTCTGCCCTCTGTATGTAAATTAAGGATTTTTGAAATCTAGCAAAAGTTCAAAGGAGCTTGGCCACAAAAGGAGAAGAAGAAACGGAGCAAGGCAAAGGTGGTTGTTTCTTTGATCAGCTCTGCTCCTTTCTCCCCAGCTCCCTGGTGAGTGTTAGGAATGGGTTGGAATTGGGAGGAGAGATCTTGGAGCTTTCATTTTGGAACTTTGTACATTCTCTGTGAAAACTTGTCTAGGCCAGGTTGTTCAAGGACTATAATGAGGACGGGAGGCTGCCATCAAGGCAATGAAATCTCTTAGGATTCTGCTGGCCTCAGCACACTGTATTCTTAATTTTTCTTTCCCCAGAAACCAGGGTCCATGACTATTCGAGAGAATGTGGCTTTAGAGCATAATGGTACCCCCGTCTTCAGAGGTTGGCACTGTAAAACAAAACTGGAGACGAAGGTAAAACAAAGTTAATGTGTCTATATTGCACTCTTAAGGGCCTTTATCATGCGAGTCTATACTGTCAACTTTCCAAGAAGGGGAAAGCCTATGTAGTAGGTTTCTACTTGTATTTGGCATTTTCTCTCCTCCCTCTTCACCAATCCCTGCAACAGAGAGTAACTATGACATGCCCGTCAGGAAGGCAAGATTCATCTCAGTGAAGGTGAGATTCTCAAATTGTTTTGATGGTTAATTTTATATGTCAACTTTACTGGACTATGGGATGCCCAGATGTTTGACTAAACATTATTTCTGAGTGTGTTTGTGTGCTTCTAGAAGATAGGAATGTTTGAGCCAATAGACTGAGAAGAGTCCACTGCCCTCCCCAGTATGGGGAGCGGGCATCATCCAGTCTGTTGGGACAAAAAGATGGAGGAAGGGAGAATTTTTTCTCTCTATCTTACTGGGCTGGGATATATGTCTTCTCCTACCTTCAGAATGGGTCTTATAACATTGGCAATACTAATTCTCAGGTCTTTGAACTTGACTGTACCTCATACCTCAGTTCTTGGTTCTCAGGCCTTCAGACTTGGACTTGACTTATATCATTTGTTCTCCTGTTTCTTGGGCCTTTGGACTTGGATTGGAACTACATCGCTGGCTTTTCTGGGTCTCTAGCTTGCAAATGGCAGATTGTGGGACTTCTTAGCACCCAGAATCTCATGAGCCAATTTCTTGTAATCCTATATATATACAACTATAGCAAGAAAAAGAGTTGAGATGGTTTATAGCTTTGCTAATAAGAACCTACTGCTCCCCTTATATAAAGACTGCTGTCAATTCCAGAAGAAATACCAGGCTGTGGTATGTGTTGCTACAGCCAGCCTGGCTCACATGGGGACAGGTACACAGCAGACCCACATCACCATAACAATGACCTTTGATAGTGAGCTCAGGAGTCCCATAATTAGGCAGACAGTCCTGCTCCAGTTCGGAGAAGTAATTTGGGGGTAAAGTTCAAAAATTCAGGCTTGAGGAGTCTGTGGGCCTTGTGTAGAATTCGGTTCAGTTCTTTCTCAATTTGTTGGAGGACACAGTGTCATCTTAGCCATAACGAATGTCTGTCTGAACCGCAAGGGAATTCATGATGATGAATTACTGAAAAGACTGAGGCTATTATCCAGTGAATTTAGGTCAAGCACCTATATAGTCTTCAACTCCACAAAAATGCCCTTCTTCTAGGAAGAGAGCTCATCTATTAATATTATGGCTGCATAATAATAAAAAAAATGTGATGTGAAGCAGAGGGCAAATGGGTCCTGATGTCTACATGTGCTTGCTGACAAGAAACAGCCCAGATAAATTGTGACAGGTAGTGATTAACTTAAAGTGTCTAAATATTTCTGGGCCTTGCAGAATAAAATGTGTAAATCTAAGAATGGCTGTGAGTGCAGTGGAGGCCTGTAGTGTGTCCCAGCATCTGTTTTCTTTTACCATTTTTTTTCCATCTGTGTTATATGTAGCTATGAATTCAAGATTTCACCATCCAAGTAGCACAGGGACACTGTTATAGAAGCACAGGATTTGGAGTCAGGGTCCAGAGACCAAATCTCAGGCGTGTTGTCTCCTAGATGTGCACATCTGGACACTTGGCAGGATTCTTGTAAAAATGAAAGGGGTCAATGCAAGAATGTAAAGTGCTAAGCCAAGAGCTTGGCACAGGGCTTGTGCTCAATAGAGGAAAGTATTGTCATCACCATCTTTGTCACCACATCACCAGTACTGTCACATTTACAACCAACTGCTTGGATAGGTACATAAAACATAATTTGGCTTCAGTTTGATAGAACTGTGAAATAGGATCAGCACACATCCTAGTAAAGTATGGAAAATTTAAAATTTTTTCTTATAATGTGTCAGAAAAAATTGTTCACGTATGTTGGGCTTTGGTGCTTTATGTGTTCAGCTGAGGGGAGAGGAGGAAGAAAAAAGGACACAGCATGTGAACTCCAGTTGGAATTTCAGATTTGCTTCTGCCTAGTTAAGTGACCTTGAGGGATTTGCCTCAGTGGCTTTATCTGAAAAATGGGGTTAACAGTGCCTAGATTCAGGGAGGATTAAATGGTATGGGATTGCATTTGGAAAGTTTCAGGCACATATAATTTCAATAACTGTCCATTCCCAGATCCATCAGGAATTGGATAAGCTCATGCAAATCTCAAGGGAACATTTCAATACCTTTATAATACTGAGCATCTAGTTAAAGGCAGCTGGCCCTAGAAGTTAATCCAAACAGCATAGCTAAGTCACTGCTCAGATGATCTGAGCCATAGTGTCACTTAGCACAAAACCCCATAACAATATAATAGAGCAAAGAGAATCTCTAAGAATGTATAGGCCACTCTGCTATCAGAAACCATCATGTCAATGGCTAATTCCTAAAACAGGCCAAATCTGTCCCTGCCCACATTGCTCTCAGGGTGGTGGATAAATAATTGCAGTCCACATCAAACTGATTGCCTATGTAGAATTTGTTTCCTTGTCACAAAGTGGCTTCCAAGTTTTTTTCTGTCAGTCACCTTAATTCCTATACCAGGAGTCATGACTATGGCAATCCTTCTGGATGGTAGGGCTCAAGAGCTTTGGCTTCAACATCTCAGCCACCAGCCAGTCCTCCATGGGGCATG